CAAAAAGGAATGTATACTTTGTGGGATCAAAGGCAGATCAATAGCCAAATCAATAGTGATCTCCTCAGACGTCTTCCAACCTCTTTGCAAAAGTACCAGTTTTAGAGTTATAAAGGTGCATTAAATCATTTATTTAGATGATTGAAGAGCTATGCCAGCACAGAGGCTTTGCTTACAGAGGTTTACAAACCAAACTTTTAAAAAACAGGTAACATAAAAAAGGCTGGAAAATGGGATAGAGATCTATGGCGTCTATCTGAGGAGAGTCAGATAGTTCCATGACTTACATGGTCACACAGAAAAGCTGCTATAACATAGACTTTTGGGGAGTTACTTCATGTTTGGTCTTAAAATACCCAGAGAACTGCATGCACAGTATGACCAGTCTTGTAAGCTTTTGAAGGTAAATGCAGTTAGGAACCCCTTTGAGGGGTCATACATTAAGAAAAAGTTTAAGTAAAGACCTGATACTAAGATCTAATAGGTAATACTCTATACTAAAGGTGTGTTTTGAAACAAAAGTCACCTTGTATTTTGACTAGAATAGAACTGAAAAGCACTTACTGAGCATTATACCAGAAAAAGAGTTAATTCAGGTCCTGATTAAATGGAAGTGTAAATTAGGCAGAAATCAATAAGTCTGTGATCTGATATTTTGCTGAAAGAGGGGTTGTTCAGCCTGGAGGAGTGAAGGCTCTGGGTAGACCTTATAGCAGCCTTCTAGTACTTAAAGGGGGCCTACAGGAAAGATGGGGAGGGACTCTTTATCAGGGAGGATAGCGATAGGACAAGGGGTAATGGTTTCAAGCTGAAAGAGGGGAGATTTAGATTAGATGTAAGGAAGATGTTCTTGTGAGGGTGCTGAGACACTGGAAGAGGTTTCCCAGAGAAGCTGTGGCTGCCTTCTCCCTGACAGTGTTCAAGACCAGGTTGGATGGGGCCTTAAGCAACCTGGTCTAGTGGAAGGTGTCCCTACCCATGGCAGGGGGGGTGGAACTAGATGGTCTTTAAGGTCACTTCCAACCCAAACTATTCTGTGATATATTTGAATTACAATAAAATGCCCTGCTATTATTCAGTATTGATGGTATACTAATTTCACAATGACCAAATTAAGAGGGAAGATATTTCAAGGAATTGTACCAAAATAAAAAACAACCTCAGTTAATTCCTTTTCTGCACAGGTAATTAATTAAAGACGGTATTTTCTTCTGTTCAGTTATAGAAGAATTAGTAGAGAAAATCAAACCTTACATAGTTTTGAGTTATTCGGATTTATAAATTGATTTTTAGAAGCCTCATATACAGATATATATGTACACAAAATCATTGGGAAATAACAACAAAAGTACAATGCCAAATGTCATTTAAAAATAATTTACTTCACCATACGGTTTGCTTTTATGGCAGCACTTCCCTTATTTCGCCATGAATAAGGACTGCTGTGCTGGTTTGGCTAGGACAGAATCACAGTCCAGCCATGCTAGGCAGGCCATTAGCAGTTTCAAGTCGGCCAGGGCAGCTGGCCTGAGTTAGCTACAGGGGTAGCCCACACCATAATGTCATGGTCATTATAAAGGGGGAAGATTTACTGAGGAAGGGGAGCTCTGGT